TGTAAATTTAATCATACATTTAGAAAAAAAGCATTAAACTTCGAATTACTTCATTGTCATTTCCTTAGTTTTTCCCCTGCTTTCTGGGAATTGTGTTAACGAAAAATGTTTTTATTTTTGCGGTTTGCCACTGTTTATTATGAATCAAAATTTATCATTATTGCCATTTAATATCTTAGCCACATGAAAAACAATATTATTTTAAATAATTTTTCGTCTACATCGCAGGGACGAAAAACATTATCAAACCTTTATTTTGCAAACTTCAAGGAAATGCGAAAAAAAAACATTTTTCGGGATAGCATCTCAAGAAATATATAATAAAGCTGTTTCGCTTCTTCAAAGTTATGACATTGCTTAGAGTTTTTGTTAAAGTAATAAATTAACTTTTACTTCTAGTACTTAATTTATTGAATTTCCAATGGATTTTGATAGAGGTTGTGGGCTTACGTATTATTAGTAGGTAAATAGCTGATAACTTTTTATGTGAATTAAAATATGAACAACTATGCCAATATATAATGTGTTGCCAAACTAACCAATAAATAACATTTTCGTGATGATCAATCTCTACCTCTGAACGGTGGTGGGTATCAGCTTGCCCGCGGGCAAAGCTCATTTTTATATATATTTTTTATAGGCGCGTACGTGAGAGCTCTCTCACTACCCATCGGTGCTCTAGAGCGGTTATGGGAAAGCTCTTTTAAGCTTTCTATACATTTTGTATGGGTGCGTGCAGAGTAAAAGCTCTCTCTTCCCATCGCTGCTGTAGAGCATACATACATAAATATGTAACAATCCAAACTATTTATTGGTGCAAGTCATAAATACCCTGTAGGGAAACCCCGAACTGGTGAACCAAATTTGTAGTTCCGTACTAGATCTTTATCGCCAAAAGCGAACCAGACCGATAGTAACTGGATCGCCACCAGTTCAAAAGCAGCGATATGTGGTACTTTTGAAAAACAATTTTAGAAATCTATATCTAAAATGACTAATTTAGAACTGGTTCAAAACTATAGAAAAAGGGATGCAGAACGAACCTCTAGTTCTGGCGAATTTTGAACTTGTTCGAAACTACTGAAAAAGAGATGCAGCGGGGGGCTTGTTTACTTTAAATAGACTTTTGCTTAGCGGGTTTTTTCTTTGGAATACGCTTTCAGTCTGCACGTCGCAGATGCTTTTTCATAGCTTGGTAATACAAAACTAATATTTGTGTTAACATCTTAACATTTTGGGACCTTCTGGAATATAACCAATAACCGTCAGCACCTCTGCATATTCAGCTACAGCCAAAGGTATGTAAACGTGTTTTCAAATGCGCAATTTAATTTACATTCATCCAAACAAATTTGATTTCAGATTGAAAATACATTTATCTGCAAATAATTAAAAATTGCTGCCATGGCAACCCAAAGAAAACATCTTGTTACTTTTTTCGTTTACAACTGGTTCGAAACTATAGGAAATGGGGTGCAAAGCGAACTAGATCCCATATGTCTAATTTAGAACTGGTTCTGAACTATAGTAAAGGTAATACAGCGGGGGATAATTTCCAATTCCTATGACATCGCCGTGTTAAATTCGCCAGTTGTTTGCATGCAAAAGAGATTTATCGCGAACTAGTAGTGGTTCTAAATGTACTAGAAGCGCAGTAGTTCAAAACTAGAGATTTCCCCACAGGGAAACACTGATCCATTTGGTATTTACAAAATAAAGAATTCAATCAGTTTATTACATATGCTACCCTTTTTGGTGACAAATAAGCAAGTAAAGGCTACAATACTAAGTGTGACCACGTTAAAGGCTCTACACACTCATTGATTTATCGGCGAACGAGTTGGTCATATGCTAGAAGTTGGTTATAAATAAGCCGTATGTAGGCAAGTTGGTCAACCTTGACGAAATGAAAACTGTTTACCCAAAACTTAACGGACTTTCGAAAAAATACTCGTTTAGTTTGTACCTCGGTGCCTGCAGAGCGCCTCAATACAATTCTTCTGGATTTGACCTTTAGATGAACTTTGCATGGCCTCTTGATGACCTTGAAGAATCAAGGGACCCCTTTATTCGGATTCAGCGACAACAAAAACAAAAAAAAATTAGTTGTTATTTTTATTGAATAAATAATTTTTTCCTATTTGACCATCAAATGACCTCGAACCTGACATAATAAATTTTCAGGTTTATTCAATGAATTTTTTCCCAATGGACCTTCAAATGACCTCGAACCTGACGTGATGGAGGCTAACAGATCTCGGATTTGCATTCAGCGCGTGGAATAATAAAGGGATATAGACGTTTGGTTCAATATGCAGAAACTGGTTTTTTGCTCATTTTATTTTATTTAAAGCTATTACTTTATGGAAAAATGTTTTTTTGAATACTCACTGTAAAAAATGCCTTTAAAAATTCGATTAATCGATTATTTTTCAATAACTGCAATTGCAATTTTTTTTCTGGTGATTAGTCATATGATTAATCGATTGTTTTATTTTTTTCCATCCCTAAAAATACGTAGTTAGGTTAGGGCTGCCAGACGTTCTGGTTTTCCAGGATTAGTCCTGGTTTTAGACAAATTGTCCTGGTGTCCGAAGTAGTCAGATTTTGTCCAAAAAGCGTTCCTTAACTCGAAAATGACAGCAAAAATGAGAGAGCAACACTCAGTGAGAGTGACTCTCTTCAGTTCGAAATAGTCAGATTTAGTCAGAAGAATTTTTGCTGGCAAAATATTTAATAGTGTCAAACTCAACTGAATTTAAATTAACGGAAATTAAAGAATACACAAAAAGGGAGAATAATCTAAAAAGTAATTGTAATTGAAAGTGGAAGGTTGGTTGTTGGTTTTTGTTAATATTTCTATTATTAGAATGTTTAACTTTTAGGTGTGCTCGTCCTTAAGTTATTTGTTTTTGTTATTTTATGGCCTTATAACAATTATATTCAACAATTTTTATTGAGCTTGAGGCCGTTTTTAGTGAAAAACTTATTGTGGAAAAGCAACAAAAATTGAAAAAATGGTAGAAGTGATAGCTATTTCGGAAATCACCCCATTTCTTCATCAGACTTCTTTCTATCTTATCAGAAATTACTTCAAAATAATGCAACGCCAGAACCAAAATTATACTGACAAATATATAAATATCATAAAAGCATTGTAAGGTAAAACCGTTCTCCCAATTCATCGGCCACGATTTTTTTAGAAGTTGCCAGCATCAAAATTGTTTTTGTCAATGTTATTGCGACTTATGAATGGCTGCGTTTCTTTATACATTCCAGACAATCCCATTTCACAGCCAGAATAAACAGAATGCGTTTGAAGTATACGTTAACATATCATCATGAACGTTCTAAAGCAGAGACCCAAAATAATAAATATTTCATGGTGGAGTTTTAAAAAAGTCATTCAAATTTTCGGAATAATTATAAAATTCTTTTCATAATAATTATGTGTGAGAAAATTTTTTAAGTCATCGATAACTATTATTTTAAGACTTATATAATAGAAATTTTTCATAATAATTATCATTGAGATAAATATTTTTAAGTCCTCAAAGACATTTATTTTGAGACTTATATTATAAAAGTCTTATGATAATAATCATGAGTGCGAAAAAAGTTTTTATATAAGTAGTCCCGAACGGATCCAAACCAAGCCCCACAGGGCCCAAACTACTCCCCAACTAGCCCCGAACTTGTCCCCACCTATCCTGAAATGCTCCTGAACAAGGCCCGTCTTTTAAGACTTAACAAATTTTCTCGCGCTCATAATTATTATGAAAATACTTATAATAGAAGTCTTAAAATAAAAGCCTTTGAAGCCTTAATTTGAAAGGACTTTTATAAAATAAGACCTTAATTAATAATTATAATTATAATTAATTATAGATGACTCGAAAAATACTTATCTTAATATAATGATTATTGATTGACTTTTATTATTTTCCCTTATAATAGTTATGTCTCTGTTCTAAATAATAAGTAAACAAAAAATTTTATTCCAAACGTTCAGAGTGAAAAAAGAAATGCAGCCAATATTTTATCTTTGATATTGTTTTGAGCTTTGTACTACGATTATGTTTATTAGGAGAAATTGAAAAGCAACAAAGTCTAAGCGGTAGGAGTTATACCAGCTACTTCGGAGATCACCACATTTCCTCATCAGACTTCTTTTTTCTAGACTTCAGCAGGGATCGAACCCGCGTCATCGGTTTGCAAAGTGATAAGCGTTAGCCACTGAGCTATGCACACCCGCAAACTCTTGTTGTATTCCAGGTGCATAGTCCTTCAGTAGTAATACGGTAAAATAAAACAGTACTTTGTTCTTGGGAATTAATTTTTTGAAAAAAATATGGCATCACTACATACAATAGATGATTAAGTGACAGTTCACATAACATAACAATTAGTAAAAACATAGCAATTTAAGGACAGTCGTGAACAAATCGAGATTATGACATATTTACGAAAGCAAATGTATCGTAATTTACGTGAAGTCACAGTAGTTTTGAGGGTCAAAATAGTACTTGCATTGCATTCTTCAGTAACAATAGACACTGAAGTGTAAACTTTTTAGAAATTAAAAAAAACTGTAACCATATTTTCGATTAAGTGCGTTAAGTTCGTTTTTTTTTATAGTCTTCGATAGTGAGCCCAAGCTATTTTTAGTAATTTCCGGCAAAAATTTGTAGTGCGGATGCTTCCCCAATAGCTTTACATTAAATCGTAGGTTCATTTGTGGAAAAAATAAAGTAAAACGGATATAAAGAAATCTACATAATATGAGAAATATAATTGCATATTTTTGTAGATTTTTTTTCAGGGGCCGTAAATAACAGTTATTTTTTTCAACAGTTAAACTTGGCCTCATACAGTGCACGCTCGATAACGTGAACTAATTAAAACCAAGGGAGTTCACGTTAACAAAAGTGTTCATGTTTTCGAATGCCAAAGAAGTATAAGGAATAACTAATTTAAATTGACATTTTATTGTCTTTTTTTTACATATTAATTTGTGTTTAAGAGATATGATATGTAAGCTTGAGAAAACTTTTTATTAAAAAAATCAGTCATCTTTTTTTGTGTCTTCAGTTTTTCTAATAATAGACATCACACATCAAGGAGCGAAGTTCAGCTCCCCACTTTTCTTTTAAAACCGCCAACGACGTACTATCTTTAGTATCACCATCGTTTCCGGCAAAATTTAAAATATTGTTCCTGCACCTAGCTTGGGTTTTTTCGCCGACACGACCCCAAGCGGCATTCAAAAGATGTATAGCTTTTTTTAATGTTATTTTCTTCATCGACTCGAGCAAATCAGATTGCGTGGCTGCTATTGAAGCCAAAAGGCTGTTTCTGTAGTGCAGCTTCGTGATTTTTATTGCCACCTTATCCATTGGTTGAATGAGGGGAGTAACGTTTGGTGGCATGAACATTGCGAAAATTCGCCCATCTTCTGTTGCCAGTTCAGCTTCATCTGGATGGGAACGAGCGTTGTCGATTAGGAGAAGTGCTTTAATTGGCAAGTTTTTCTCTTTTAAAAACAATTCCACCTTCAAAAGTCAAATTTTGGAAAAATTTGTACAAAATTCAAAAGCAACCTTCACCTGTTGAACGAAAGATGCATGAAACCATTCTTTGAAAATAGTCGAGGTCATCCAGGCTGATTTTGAGCTTTGGTAGTCGGTGGGATACTGATCGTTTTTAAAGCAGCGTTGATTCTTCGCCTTTCCGATTACCAAAATTTTAAGTTTATCAGATCCAGTGGCGTTTGAGCAACACAAGAACGTGATTCGCTGCTTCTCTGACTTTACGCCTAGGGCTCTCTTTTCCAAACTGGACACGTACGTTTTTTCTGGAAGAAGTTTCCAGAATAAGCCGGACTCATCAGCATTATATAGCTGATCATTAGACAACTCCAATTCGGCCATTTAAGTTTTAAGTTTTTGCTTAAACGGGTCCACTAGCTGAGGCTGCGAAGACAGTTTTTCGCCTGATATTTGAAGAAGTCAAATGCCGTATCTTTTTTTGAATCTTTGAAGCCATTTATCATAAGTGCAGAAATCACATTCGCTTTCCTTAAATTTTGAATGCAGTTTTTTGCCTTTTTCTTTCAGCATTAAAACACTCACTGGCCAGTTCTTATTTTGCTTACGAATAAACCAACGATAAAGAGTTTTCTCCATTTTGGGCAGCTCTGAAGTACGCAGTGTTTTTCTTTTTCCAGGCCCAGAACATGTGTCGTTTACACATATTAGAATCACTTGTCTTTTCGTTTTAATGCCACAAATTGTTGACTTAGCAACATTATATTTCTTCGCTAAGAACGTCACACTCGACCCTTTATGTAAACATCCGCGAATTTCAGCATTGTCTTTTAATGTCAAGCACACAGGCTTCTTAGAACTCATTATAAAGCAGCAAATCTAAGGTTTAGCACTCCATTCAAAGCCAAAATTGCGACTGAAATGTTTTGTGCATTACATGCCACCACAAACAAAACGCATAACTTACTACAAGGGGATTCCCAAAGTTCAGAACTATTTGAGCTCAATGGGAACTACATTCAAACATTGAAACGTTTATTGTTCATGTTATAGATGCACAAAAAAGCTTGTTCACGTTTTGGGGTGTTCACGTTTAGGAGTGTTCACGTTTTCGAGCGTGCGCTGTACTTTTAAGTCCGAAATAAAAGTTCTTTCCGAATAGTAAATAAACCGCTTATCCAAATTAAACAAATTTGGTATTAAATTAAAGAGGACTTAAATAGCTGTCAAACAGAAGTAACGAACGAAGGTCACCACTTCTATTTATATATTTTTTTATAATTTAATACAAAAGGAATTCATATACCTGAACCAAGATTTTTTCTATGGTGTTTGAATAACATTTTTTATTGAAATATTTTTCAATAACTGGCTTTCCGCATTCATTCCTCATTTAAACACTTCTGTTTTAAAGCTATTTTAGTGCTCTTTCTTTTGAAACCAAACTTGTTTAATTTGGATAAACGGGTTGTTTATTTAGGAAAAGACTTTTATTTTGGACTTAAACAGTGGGGGGTTTCGTCGGAGCCCTCACTGTCAGACCACAGAATTATCCGATTTGCACTAGTAGTAGAAGTCAAAACAAAGCAGGCAAACAGGAACCCCAGAAAACCGACTAGGAAAAGTACAACAAGTAGGTACACCGACTGCATGAGGCTAGAGAGCACCGTTAATGAGTTAAATGGCGCTATTATAGACGCCTTTCACTTTAGCTGCCCGGAAACAAAACTAAGAGGGAAGGTGCAGCCCAACTGGTGGTCTCGGGAGCTATCGGTGCTCAGAAATCAGGTACGCAAACTACTCAATAGAGCAAAGCGTACAGGGCACTGGGTTGAATATTCAAGTAGTCTAACCAACTACAGCAAAGAGATCAGGAAGCCGCTAGGCTGCATTAAGCCTTGGCAAGGGACCATACAGAAACCAGACTAGCAAACCGGCCAGACAACAACAACGAAGAGGAAAGGGCGCTTGCCCTGCTTTTGAACCATTTCCCGGATACCACTCCAACTTCGGGGGTGGTAACTTGCCAACGGGCTAGGTCATCCCCAGCGGACTAGAAGCTGACTATAAGTTTATTCACCCTCTGATCAGTCTGCTGGGCGTTGGACTCCTTCGATCGGTATAAATCCACCTGAGTGGATGCATCAGTCCAGTGTTGCTGAAGCAAGGCAAGGAGTTCCTACTTCCACACCTCGTCAACATCATGCGGGCTAACCTAGCGCTCGCTCACATCCCCGAGGTGTGCCAAAGGCTTCGGATTATATTTATTCCGAAGATAGGAAAGAGGGATTATTCTCTCGCTGAGTCCTGCAGGCCGATAAGTCAGTCTAACCTCCTTTCTGCTAAAGGCAATGGAAAAGGTTATTGACCATGAGATCAGGAACAACACTCTTAAACAGGTGTGGGCAGGTCTACGGACACCGCACTGTACACCTTGCCTACGGTAGTACAAGATGCCTTTGAGTACAGTACTTTGTGCCTTCATTGCAATCGAGAGGACGTTTGACAACACCTTGAACGCAATGTGCAGGCAACGATCCGCAGGTGGATAGCCAGGCTACATAATTCAAGGTTAGCTGGAACCGACATCGGGGACAGCGTGGTACAACTACAAACTGCAAAAGGTTCCCCGCATTGAGGAGTTTTATACCCTCTCCTGTGGAGGTTAGTTGTGGACGAACTCCTGCTGATTTTCACCGACAATGTCATCCGCTGTCAATACTATGCGGATGACATTGTGATTATCGCTAGAACGAAGTTGGTGAGCACTCTCTGTAATATAGTTCAAAGGGGACTAAACTTAGCAAGAGGCTGGTGATGCCTTAGCATCAACCCCTCCAAAACGGTTATTGTCCCCTTTTTTAGAAGAAGAACACTTCCAGGCAAGAGAAACATTTCTTTGAATGGGGTCGCCATCAACGTCGCGACCGAATTTAAGTACCTGGGATTAACAGATTCTAAACTTCTGTGGAAGACGCATGTTGACGCGGTCACTTCCAAAGCTACGAGGGCACTAATAACTAGTATGCAAACGTCTGGCAGGGAAGACCTTGGGCGGTAGTCCCAAGATACTGAGGTGGATGTATGCCATGATAGTTAGACCAATAGTTACTTATGGGGCAGTGGCTTGGGTCTCGAGAACCACCCTTGCCACGGTAGGGCAATCCCTCACCAAGCTTCAAAGTCTGGCATGTGTATGCATTACGGGAGCAATGCGCATAAAACATGTTGCAAAGCGAGCTCTACTAAATTTCGCTAGAGAAGGCTTTTACATCATTGTGGAACAGGGACAAGCAAGGCTCCCAAATTCCATTAGCTTTGCTCCTCAGAGATGATAGGCGGTTAACTTTGACAGTAAATTCAAAATAGAGCTTTGCACCAAGTCGACTTGGAGCACCTCTCCCATGGAGAGTCAAAACTCCGGAAGGCATTGGGGCAGGCGCCTAGGGACCAAGGCTACATCTCTCACTACGCATGGGGGTATACCTGAGTGTCTTCCAAGCGGAGGTTCATGCCATCAGTCTGTGTGCAGAGATTAACCTACGTAGAAATTACCGCAATGAAAAAATTTTAATATTGAGCGATAGCCAGGCGACCCTCAAGGCCCTCTCATCATTTAAGGTCAAGTCATCCTTGATTCTGGAGTGCATTGTTAAGCTCAACAGCCTGGCGGAATACAATAACATCCAATAATCTTGGGTACCAGGTCACATAGAAGTTGCCGGAAACGAGGAAGCGGACCGACTAGCTAGAATGGCAGCCTCGCCGGCTATGGGGTCTGAGCCCTTCCCAGCCATTGAACCTAGCACAATCAAGGGAGAGGAAGGAATCAACACTGGCGTAACACTACAGGTCTACGTCAAGCGAAATACCTACTGGGAGGTTACAACCTTGCAAGGTACAGGGCAATTATTAATTTCTCCAAAGGAAAGGTAAGGATAATAACTGGTTTTCTGATGGGTCACTGTAGACTGAGAGGTCACCTGCACAAGCCAGGGATCTGGTCAAACGACCTATGTCGTTTCTGCGATGTGACTAAGGAGGCTCCTGGGCACCTACCTCGCGAGGAGGTATAGTAAATAGTCCATGCAAGAACAATGACTACCATTTGACAAATCATTTGAGTAGCAAGACTGATAGAGATTTCTTTCACTGGCTATCTACAAGTTTCTATCAAATTCTAAAGGGCAGTGTGAAAAATCTGATGGAATCTTTTGTGTACGTGTAGAGATGGGCAAAACGGTGATTTTACAATCACTGTGAAAACTGTTACTGTGATTTCCTGAAAGCAGTGACTTTAATCGGTGATTCGAATCACTATTTTAGAATTATGTGAATTTTCGATAGTACAGCTTGATACAGCCATTAAAAAAGCCAACGCAATAAGCACTCCATAATTTTATAATACCGTTATTAAAATGCAATTCGTAAAGCTTTAAATGTATATTAGTTTCATATTATTACATTTTTAAATAAAAAGTGACAAGTTTCTGTGTTGCTGAAAATGTAAATATAAGTTATATAAACATTTATTGTATAGATGAGTATTTTGAATTTGAATTTAAAAATAGAAGCATCTCCGTTTTTGCTGGACTCAACCGCGATCTTCTATCTGTTACGATCAACCCAGCCGTTTGAGAAAATGCGCTCACACGGAACAGATGTGCAAAGGGCACTGAGTTTTTCTTTAGCGACCTCTGCCAAAACTGGAAACATATATTGGTTTTCACGCCACCATTGAAGAGGATTTGATTTTCTAGAAATTATCCCTACTTCCAGATATCTATGCACCTCTATAATAGCTTTTGACGTAGGTGTTCCTTGTGGCACAACGTTTGCTGCTTTTTTGTCGTGCTCAAACCACACAGAAAACTCATCCGCATTATCGCCAGTCTCTTGAATGTTGCTTATGTCGTGTTGTTGTCCAATTTTTTCTGAAAGGGCTGCAATTATGCTTTTTTTACCCAATCCCTTTCAGGCTCACGAAATGGAACTAACTTAAATCGGGGATCGCAAAATGTGCTGGCAGCTAATGTTTGGCTTCTTTCTATATATGCGAAACGACTATGCAAGCTATAATCTAACTTTTCCAAAAATGATTTAACACAATCGTATAATTCAAGAGTTTTAAGCTTTCCAATTACTTTTTTTAGTCCATTGACAAGAGTTAACACAATTGATGCAGTTTCATAAGAATCGCCACTAAAATCTTTTGTTACCATTTCAAATGGTTTAAGTATTTGGCAAAGCTGTTTTAGTATACTCCACTCAGTAAAGCTTAATAAAGGTAGATCAGCATTACTTAAAGCAATTGGTGTTTTTATAGCCTCTTCAAGCTGCAGAAAGCGTTCTAACATGTAAAACGTGCTATTCCAACGTGTTGGAGTATCTTGCAGAAGCTTAAGTGGCTGAGACGTACCCTGGTTTCGTTGATACTCGATTAGTTTTAAATTGGCAGTTGAACTTCGTTTGAAAAAGCCGACAAACTAATAAATAGATTTTTACAGATTTGTAAAAAGTAAAGTGATTTTATTACAATAAAGCGAAACAATCCAAACCTA